ATGTGATGAGAGGGTATAACACCCCAGGTATCAACCACTGATCTATCAAATGATGACAGTGTATCTCAGCCCCAGGTATCAACCATTGACCTATCAAGTGATGACAGTGTTTGACATCCCCAGGTATCAACCACTGACCTATCAAGTGCTGACAGTGTATGTTAGACCTAGGTATCAGCCGTTGACCTATCAAGGTATGACAGTGTATGTCAGCCCTAGTTATCAATCACTGACCTATGGTGATGGTGTTCAACTGACCAGGCCTATTTCATAATACATTAATAAATGTATTATTTTGCTTCTATCTGTGTAGGGTACCAATAACTGATTATCAAGGAATGTGTAAAACTGAACAAGATGAAGGCAGTGCAGCGTCGCATATATTAGATGTAAGTTTCCATACTGGCATGATATATCTTCACAACTATGGTATTTTAGTACATAATCATGATTGGTACTAGGGGTAATTGCACTACATACCTGGAACATTAATGTTGGAGTAGCTTTGTGTTGTAGCCCTCCTTTGAGATTTTATAGTGCTTAAAGTCTGTCTATCATAATTTATAATACAGACATGTCTCCATAATTTGACGATAGTCATCTTGTAGTTGTGTTATTTTCGATTTGTGAAAAAATTTGGAGTGGAATAAAATATTTTGTGATGTTCCTTAAGTATATGACACAATTGTGTCTACAGGGCCGCATTTTTATACTTGAAAACCACAGTATCTTTTGTCAGATTTGTTCATTTCATGGTGATATCTACAATCTTAGGACAGAAAAACTTTCTTTTAAAAAAAAGCCCAGAATTTATCAATTTTTTACTAAATGTCCATCTGATATTTATAATGTTAGATGTATGGGACAGCACAATCATACATGTATCACTGTAGCAGGATATCTGTGAGTGACTAACATTAACTTCTTTTTTGCAGCCTTTTTTCTCTGTGACAGCATATGTACATTGGGTGACCAACTATTTCATGGTGTAAGTATATGTATTACTCTCCAGCTGTATCTCACACATGCCTAAACCTGTCACATACACGTGATGACAGTGTATACAAATATCATGCATCTTGGGATACATATTTACATACATTAGATTCACAATCTGATTTAAGCTGGCTAACTTCATCATATCAAGCATTCTGGAAGCTTTATGCACACCATTATCTCCACTTGTGTGCAAAATTTGGTGTGTTTGTCTATCTGTTCATCCATGTCTGATCAAATTGGGCAAATAGGTACCTTAGGGTAATGTGCAGAATATATTTTCTACATTGTATGTGTTCATTTGTGGTCAGAATTTCCCCTTTCTAAATTTTAGCCTGCATTTCTGCAAACAAATGTTTGACTACTTTATTGCATTGTGTTCGGACTTTTATACTTTTTTGCCAAGCAAATGGAGAATGTACATTGTTTGTTTGTATTCATCTGTTATTTAATCTAGATTCCCAATGAACCTGATTGTAATAGTTACGCAATGTTGTTTTTAGTTGGGATTCAAAATGGCCAAATGGTGGAAATTTTCTTTCTTTGAGTGCAGTTCCAAAACTGTATCTGTGACATGCCTTTTCAAACCATATTCAAACCTAAACTCATAGTTGCTGTCGACATAGGAAGTAAAGTAAGCAAATAACACCAAATAAACGGCAAGGTAAAGACTATGTCTAATTATAGTAAATACGTACTGCGTGCGTGACTCGAACCGGCGCTCGCGTACGGCACCTAATCGCCTAGCTTCACGCCACTACACGTCTTCCCCTCGGCCACCGGGCATCCCCAAAAAATGATGCTTAATAACCGAGCTCATTACGT